ATTCGTAACGGTTTTCGCGTACATTCGGTCGTCGTCGCAGTATCACGCACGTTAACTATAAACGAAAAGCCATTAGTGTACATTATTATTATCATGCATTTGTGTGCATCTCTTTCGGCGGATTGAACGGTGGACCGGCCCCGGAAACGTTTTCTAGCGCCACGCGTGGTAAATGAACAATATTATATTTAAATAATATATTATATCGTGAAAAACGGACGGATAATGAGATATCACGCGTATATTATTATTATAACTATTATTATAACTATTATTATTACTTTATTAGTATGTTATGCGCGAAAACCGACGAAACGGAAACAGAGTCGACGAGGTCCGCCTCCCCCCAAACCAATCAATCCCCTCCCCCACCCCCTTTGCACCCAAATGGTCGATATGCGTTCTCTCTGAGACGATACCACCCAAAAYGTCGGGCTATTATAATAATACATACGAAAATCATCGTCGTTTAGCACTGACCAAGCCATATAGGCACGTATTATATAGTGCTTATAATATAATGTATACCCAAATCATATTATGTGTGTGATGTGTATTATAACATGTTTATAATGATTACGTCGTCGTCGTTTTGTGTTGCGAAATGGATTCAATTTACCGGGGACGGCGCATCTGCAACACAAGAATATATTAAATTACAATGTATSTATCGTATCGTTTCTTATTTCGCCTTGGTTATTATCGAGATCTAATGTCCCGTGCACACCGCCGATGAGCAATCGCGCGCGGTGGTATGACCCAAAACGGGTTCGTGATACCGTTTAATATTATTATTATTGTTATAGCCTAACCTATCGTATCAGCAGCTGATTGGAAGAGCGGCGGCGGCGTCAGTTGTACGTACCCATAACGACGAGCGTTAAATAATATAAAAAATGAAAACTTTATAATAAATTGTCAAGTATTATATTATAATTCTATTACTCCAGGATTAATAACTCGTTGACAATATTTAACTATTTTTGGAATTAAGATTTAAATTAATAAGGTATTTTTTAACGCTTATACATAATGTTATTCGACTGCATTAAGCCATTTGGTGAAATTGTGATAAAATTCAATATTTATTTATATACTTTAATTTTTGTAAGAAATATTAAGCATCGTGAAAATGTCGAAAACTTTATGCGGAAAAATTCGAAAATTTTGTACAATCAGTATTATTATTTATCAGTTGGCGTTTAACACGAATTATTATGTCTCCTGACTCCTACTATAATATAATGGATATTATAAATATTATATAATATGGGTAGTTCCGAGTTCGTAAAGAAAATTTACCTGTTCAATAATTATAAACTACAAAAAACGGAAAAGTGGATGTCGAACTGCTGTACAGGTGGGTTACTGTAATGGATGGAATTAAATTTGAATCCAATGATATTATATAATTGTATACGAAAAACGATTCTAAGCGAAGACGGTTTATCTGTCTAGGATATATTATAAATTATTATTACTTATTAAAATATTTGACTTTCCCATTAAACATTTYTTTTTTTTTTTGATAAAGGTAGACAATCTTATAAGGAATYTGGAATCTTGAATTAAAGTTTCAAATATTAGATTTGAAAAAAAAAATTTTAATGAATTTCTATCTAAGATAATTTGAACATAGCCATGATTTTCAATCAAGTATTTAGTAAAAATTTGAACTTTAAATGCTTATAAAAAAAAATCGTGCCTATATATTTTAAATATTTGCTATTTTAACAATATGTTAGGTGTCTTGRATTAAATTTTCAAGCTTTTCTATCATACGAACAAATTTGTATCGATATTTATAGAACGAAAAAACTAATTRGTTGAAAAATTAAAATGTCAGTAAACAGCTTAAAACAAATAAAAATATTTTGAAAATTTTATCAAATATGRAAAATGCCTATATAAACATTCAGTGAAAATTTCAAATATCTACTGTCTTTCGTTTTAGAGCTACACCAAAATAAGAAAATCGCTAAATGAGAAATCTAGTGAAAATCCAATGTTGTAAAAATTTAAATTTTAAACGTAAAAACTTAATTTGACTTTTTGGTGAATATGTTTCCATTACAAACTTGTATTAAATTATGAAAAGAAGATTTTTATGAATTTTAGCTTAAAATAATTTGCGAATTTTTGTGATTTTTACGTATTTTGTCAAAATTCAAACTTTGAATGCTTATAAAAAATATTATGACTRTATGTTTTTCTTTTATTTTTCAACTGCTATTGTAACAATAAATTAGGAGCCTTGTATTAAATTGTCAAGCTTTTCTACCCAACAAATAAATTTTTATCGGTATTAAATTTAAAAAAAACTAAGTATCGAAAATTGCATATTTCTATAAATAGTTCAACTTAAGTCGAAAGTTTTTGAAAATTTCATGGTGGATATAATATACTTATATACCTAAATATTAGGTGAAAATTTCATATAATATGACCATAGGGTCAACCAAAATCGAATTTATCGAAAGCTGATATTGTGCGTAAAAACTCCCGTTTTTTCCTTAGTTTTTAGTTCGTTTATCCTGATTATTTAGAAAAATATTGAGAATTTTTTACTTTTGACCCTCCAACGTACCAAAGTACCAACTAGATTCACTTTCTAATCTAACAAGGGACTGAAGTCGAAAATCGAATGATTTTTACTGCCCCAAAACGTGATGATAGACACACAAAAAAAACACATCATGGTAAAATCAATACATTCCTCGCTCCGCTCAGAATTTAAAATATAAAATAACCCAACTATTAATGTGATACAATAAAATCCAAATTTACTCAACTTTATATGATTCAAAAATACACATTGGATCAACACTAGCCTCCATCTCCAGGTTTGCCATAAGTCAGTGTTAAWTGGAGCATCAACGGCAGACACCCCTTTTTTACATATTAAATTACTCTTAGTCCAAATTAATTATTTAAACTTAAAAGAAATTCAAATCYATTCATTGGATTGGTTATATATACGACCTACTCAATTTTTGTGRCCAGATAGAAGATGTCAAATTTTAACTAATTATTCAAATAAACTATAGGTATTTATTCGTTCATTTTGAAGTTAAAAATACTTAAGTTACTTGTTCCGTCTTAACTAAGCCAAACACCAATATACCTAGTAACTAAACGAGTTTAAAAAAGTAACATGCCAATATCCTAGCTTTGAATAATATAATATTATAAATATCGTTATCATCTTGTTTTCTATATTATCATCATCGGATCAGTCACTTCAAAAATCCTTCACCCATAATCGCTGCAATCTATATTATAATATTATACCAMGCATACCGCAGTGGCAGTGCTACAGAAAGATTTAATCATCATATAACATTATTAYGTAATATATGCACGCGCTGGCCGCTTATGRTCTATTATTATTTTTATTATTATGCTGCTGTTAGGACTAATGGACGATCATTATTTATATGTACGATAAAATAATATGATAATATAAAAAATAAATGATAGTATTATAATATTGTATGGGAATTAATAAGTGCCGCCTCGTCGAGAACGAATGAAACGATGATATATCATTAACACTAATAACATTGATTATTATTAAAGTGAATTTATATRATGGTATAACATGAAGTTGTGTAATATTTAATATAATGTAAAGTTTGAACCTCACTATAGCACGTGCGTATTATTATTAATAAAATTATCCGGCATATTACCTGCGTAAAAATAACAGATTTATGTGCATCATGAAACTCGTTGATATCACRACAATAAACAACATAACTGTATAAACCAATTTTCGTTTTAATTTTTGTTTAACCAGGTTTCCGGCACATTATAAATGAAGGATGAAAGTTTGTGTCAGAACTATGACGAAAACAACGTTATGTTCAGAATTCAAGAATTTTTAAAAATTTCGCTGTACAAATTCAAAACTATTGACCGCTATCCCGCGTTTAAACCTAACTGTTTTAATCACAAAACGTAAGCCATTATAATAATTTTTCAATTATTAAACTGTACAAAACGTGGCCTTGGTGTATTTTTACTGTTTTTTGATTGTTTTACATAAGMATATGACCTGCCATATCTTATCATTGGGGGATATCATATAGGTATACCTACAACCACTGCAGATCGTAATGTTACTTCATACGGTAAATACAAGATAGGTTCCTATATACTGATATATAATAATATATTATGTAATAAAAATTAAAAATATATTTGACTTTTTATTTTCACTTGCAAAAATAATTGGACGGATGCTGCAATAATTTTGTATGCAACGAAAACAGTGATTGGTTTTATGTATATTTTGATTCTATACTTTAATGCTCAGTTCGTCAAACAATTATTTTTAAAAATCGTCCCTTCTAAGTTGTTTGTGTATAACTGTTCGCTCACGCATCGGTACAATACTTACTTGAATTTGAATTGTGAATTTGAACAAGATTAAGGTTTAGTATACTATTTACTTCGAAGTATATTTTTTCAAAAAATATCGAACAGTATATAAATACTTTGTTTTATATTTATTATGCTCAATRCCTCCAAGTATTGATGTAAAGACTAAAAATAATTAAATATTATAGAAAGAAAATGTGTTTTTGAGCTATTGTGTCATTGTTTGGATAATTTTTAATAGGCTCTCAAGGCGCAAAGGCCCACTAAGCTCTAAGACCCCGAGTCACTGCTCCWTTTTGCCTTGGGATAGCTATACTACACTGTCTATAATAGCAGTAAGTCTAAATAATGTCAAAAATGGCTAAATATATCAGAAATATAGAATTATTGTGAAACCCCTAAGTAAAAACATTTATTTACATAGAAATCTTTAAAAATATGTAAAACAAAATGAAATTTAGGTAGAATTAAACATATCTACCTATCATTTATCTAAATATTAATTTATCAAGTTGCAGAGAAAGTTTGTAAATTTGTGTCATTCAAAAATGATTGACAAATTAAGAAGTCTGCGCTAGACTATCGATAATTATTTTGTCTGTCGTAATACATGGTTCAAGTTATACATATTATTTAAAATGTTAGKATTTTAATAAAAAATATACATTAAATTAAATTAGTAATGAACTAATGAATGTCAATGTTATATTATGATCATAATATAAAACTCAATGATTGAATTCAGTCAAAATCTAGATTTTCAGAAATGCAAATTGTATTTATTTTAAAATTTACACATTACTTCAGGAAGTTAAATTCGATTAACGTGGCAGAAATTGTTGAAGTTCGTCAATGTTTCATCTTTTTATAATATGAGCTGTTAAATCGTTTATGAATCATATTATTATAGTAATTTTGGACAACATTAAATTGTTATTTGACTTTAATGCATATATAAACATATTGTATAATATTATAATACCATGCACAAACAAACCGGGCTCAGTAAACGTTGAGTTAAATACAGTATATATATATATATTGCCAACAATACCTGCACTGCAATTTATTAGTCTCGAAAGGAAATCCGTATTGACGCGTGAAGGTTTTTGGAAAATCGAAATGCAGTAATGTAAAATATAATAAGACTTTAATATGTGTACACAATTTATCACGAATATAATGTTATACGACCAACCACGTCGCAGAAGGATTATCTATATTATTTTTGAACAACTGTCGGGGTGACGTGTAAACATAAAATATAGTAAAACACGCGTATAAACCACAGTTACACGTCACCTTTAATTTTTTGTGTTTTTTTTATCGTTTCTGGCGCACACAAAGCGAGAATAAACATCGTTTGCTAAAGATTAGGTAGCACAACAATCATGTATTATATAGGTATAGCTATAGCTGCTATTATTATACTGCCCGTACCTATATACAAATACCAACACTGCCGGTGAAAGTCGGACGTTTCCTGATTTTTTTCCCCTCAGAAGGGATAGGTAAGTAATGTTTTTATTTTTTCATTTCTTTCCAATAACTCGCACTTTGTATAGGTACATACCTATTCTCGTTGCAGTCGCTTCATCGGCAGTACAATGGAAATAATATTATATTATTATTTACCAGTGGGTGAAATCGCCCATATATTCGTAGACACTCCGCCGCTGCCGACCGCGGTAATAGGTAAACGCGTTTACGTTGCAGGTATAYATAATATTATTATGTATATCTTTAGTATTATCCGCACTGCACACAGCGACAGACGTCGAATATAATAATATTCATTCATTGCGGGTATATAATATGACACATATTATATTATTGTTATTGACGATCTCCAATGAGCTGTGATCCGAGTGCACAGCGTATTGTACAAATAATAATGATGATAATAATAATAATGTAATGTATAATATCCGCGCTGAATATATAATATCATTCGCGTGCATTATATACGACGAACCATCAACGGAGTCGAAAAAGACCACCGGCTGGCACGGAGGACGTCTATAATAATAATAGTAATAATAATAATAATGTGTTACACCATTACACGTATTATATACATAGGTATACGTGTACTGTGTAACCATACACATATAATATGTAGGTGCAACCTGTTGGCGAGCGGTGGAATTCACACGGTCCGATCCGCCGCCACAGCGCCGTCCTCCCCCTCGCAATAGCAGTGTATGCACACCGTCGGTAGTCAAGAATAATGAAACATCACATAGATACACGAGCGTTGTTTGTTCCGATTTGTCTGTCGTCTTCCTGGTAACGATAATGCAAAAAAACCGTGATTTAAAAAAAAAAAAAAAGATAATATATTATTATGGCTCGTATATAACGCACATGACAAATAGGTTTTTTCGCGGATATGTTTACTTAAGGGTTTATTATGTACCCACTACCCATGTATAATAAGTCGTATAAGGTATAACTGAGATAAATATTTGCACAAACCGCATGTCCGGACCATAATATTTAGACGTACTGAATGCCCGACCGATATCCGCATGCATACAACGTATAATAAATATATACAATAATGCTCAATACGTATATATTATAATATTATATTACATAATATAAACGAAAAATATTATTATTATACTACTTTATTGATGTGTACCTTTAATACTATAATAGCATTATAGCTGGAAAATGGAAAAAGTCAACAATATTTTATTAAAAATGTGTAATAAACTAATAATATTATAGACGTTTCAACATGGAAAATAAGTTTTAAAAAAACTTTTGATATACACGAATTTATATACCTATGTATATGATAATAATAAGGCAATTTCAATAAACTAAATAATTTTTATTTTTCAAAAATGTATATATTATATATTCTAAATGCAGTATAAACCCACCTAATTAATTTTTCTTGAAGAATTCTGGTTAATGGAACAATAAATAAATTTAACTATATTTCTAGTTTCCTATTCTAAGAAATGGTTATGTATTATGCATTATCAATAATAATAAATTGTATTTTATTTAGTATTTAATTATTTATAAATTAACTGAACTTGAATTTAATTAAAATTTAAAAGTTACTCGTTATTTATTAAGTTTATGTAACCTAACCTAACCTAACTTAACTTAACTTTAACTTTATAACTCGTTTATGCCCCGACTTGCATACATACAGTTATTTAAGTCTACAATGTGACTATCTAATAAAAATAATTTTTTCTTAATTCATGTTTCATTAATGTAGTGTACGTTTACATTTTATTTAGACCACGCAACAATACTCAATAAAAAATAAGAAGAAAGATATTGAGTGTTTATTGTTAACCTTAAACTAGGTACCTGCTGTATAATAACAATGAACTAAATATTCGGATTGATCTTCTTACAGGAAGAACCGGTGACGTGGATGTGCCGTCAGAACCGGGCATAGTCATATCCAGAAAACAGAGAAGAGGAAGGACCGCATTCACGGCCCAACAACTGGAAGGCTTGGAAAGGTCGTTTTTGGCTTGCCAGTATCCAGACATAGCAGCCCGGGAAACTTTGGCTGCAAAATTTGGACTTCCGGAACCTCGAGTCCAAGTAATAAAACTACCCTTATACGCTTATATAGTTAATATAATATGTACACCATAATAATGACAGTAATAGATTAATAGGTATCATTGTTGATCACTAATTTAGTAATATGAGTGCAGTTCAACAACCGGATATATTTCGTAGGCTACGCAGAAAAACCTTGTATGTAGAAATTTAAAAAATTGACGCCCTGTACTTTTTTGTACATTTTGATATCATAAAATCAATATTTTTCTATGTAATTTCATAAGACAATATAAAAAAAAACAAAAAACCCGTAATTACAGTATCAATAACAAGACCTCAAAGGCTCGTTAGTCAAATGTCAATGTTATGATAAATTTAATTCATTAACATACGCCATACAGTTTTTGCTTTTCCCGAACAATTTAATAAAAGTGACTTACTAAGAGGTTTTTCAATGTAGCCGACGATATACATTACGATTTACATCCGTAAACCCCATGATGATGGTTCCATATATAAGTCAGACTATAACGAGGTCTACTTGCTGTACAGTTAAACTTAAAAATATACAGTAAAACCTCTCTATAACGGACCCTCAATTAAACGGAATCCTCCTTATAACGTAAAATGTCAATAATCTGGTGCAAATTATATATATGCAATTTCTACCTACCTCTCTATGACGGAAAACTCTTTTTAAGGAAAAAATGTTTGGTCCCAAGCGATTCCGTTATAGAGAGGTTTTATTGTATTTTTTATTCAATGTACCTACCTAGAAAATATCACGATATAACATGATAATAATAATAAATAAATAAAAGGTAAGTTTTTAGTGTTTTTACTTATCAACTTTCTTTTTTTTGTGTATTAAATAATAAATATAGTATACTAACTATAAATGGGTCATGTGTTCAATAACTAATGAAGTAATGACTAATGAGGTTGAAGATCAGTTCGAATGTATTTTATAATAATGTATCTTATGCTAACAAGTTGTGTATAAATGGCAATGCGTGTTTGTTAAGTACAAAATATGATGTCAGTTTTGTCTTGAAAATGTAATTTTTGTGACATTTAAAAAAATTAATATAACCTTAGATCGTCGCAACCTACATTTATACCGCTGACCATATTTTGAATACAACTAGATGTTTACAATCGAAAAAAATATCGTTACATAACTAGGTATATCGTTTATAATAGTAATTTTTTGATGGATCTTTTTTAGAATTTGAATATTCGTATTAGGACTGTATGCCTACTCCAACTATATTATATTATAGTTATTATACACTTGCACGTATGATGATGGTTTGTATGTAACGTAGTAATGTATAAATTTATTATTATATTATGTATGAATGATTGACGTTAATATCGAAAATATATCAAACACGCGCTGTGCATATTTATATTGTTATTGTCTCGGTTGGATAATCATATTTTTACTATTTTATTTTAAATTTACTAGAAATTATATATTACGACTTCTGTTCTTGGAATATTAAAAAGACCTTTACATTTGTTTAAGGTGTGGTTCAGCAATCGGAGAGCGAGATGGAGAAAACAGAATAGTTCCAACGTACAGCACAACATAATCAGCAGCAATTTTTCTGAGAACCTAAACACACCTTCCTACACTGGTAATTTTGATAATACATTACAATTTTACAATTTGCATATAATATGTTTTGAAACACTGTCGATGTCAAATAAATTAAAAAATAGATATCGTAGTGGAATGAATCTTGGATCATTACGGTAGGTACGATGATGATGTCTAGATGATGGCAGATTACCCACTGAAATGTCATACGCAGGTACCTACTGTTCGTTTTTCAAACAATGATTTATTAATGATTGGTATTTATATTGTTTTGAAATGGGAGTGGGAATACATTCTAACAGTTTATGTAGAAATTTCAAAACTATCATTTTAAATGTTATTATGACGTGTTTTTTCAATTGTTTTAAATAAAATAGTATTAAGAAAAAAAATTATTAGCTCTTAAGATTGTATAACTATTAACTAGGCATAGAAAAATTCTCGAAAATACATTAGAGTAACTTATCATAAGCACTAACATATTATTATTATTATTAATTTAAACAAATGTGGGTATAGAATATAGTACATTTAAAAATACTTATTCTATAATTTACATTAATATATCCAAAATCGAGACCAATTTTTCCAAGAGATTAATTATTTACCTATAATTAATAATAAAAAAACACTTTAATTTTTTAAGACATTAATATACCTTAAATACCTTAAATACTTATTTATATGATTTGTACACGTTCTTGCTAATTATTTAACCTAAATTATTATATTATATAGATTATAGATACTGAACATAATTTCTTATAGAAGGGAGCTACATATTTCTTGATTTATTTATTTAATGTGATTCATTATATATTTATATTCATTATAAAATTATATATTTAATATTTATAAGATTTAATATAGGTACCTATTTTTATTTTTTGTTAAATATTGTAAAAAGATAAATTTACTATATCGGTTATTTGTATTTATAACCTATGATAAATAATCATACGTAAGAAAAAATAAATATGTTTCATGTCGATTAAATTACGAATACATTAGCATCTTTTCGTGTAGGTTTTTGTCTCAAACAAAGTTATGAAATATATTAATTACTAAACTAAATTTTTAACATTTTGTGAGGTCAACTAGTTAATTGCGGGTGCTTAAATTGTATTCTGTCTATGTTTAACAATATTGGTTTATCGACTTCCAATATATGTCGTTCGTTCAATTCGTATTATACGAACCTGTTATATTATTAATATTATTAATATGTACCACATCAATATAGATAGTTAGGTAGATATAGGTACAATATTATTGTATTTAACTATTGATTTTATGATAATATATACAATTATGAATACTAACTTCTTCAAAATATGTTGGGAGAGAATTTTATTTTAAAACGTTAAGTTCAACATTATCACCCAGGCGATTTAATAAATACCATCTGCAATACACAGAATATGTATAWTGAAATGTTTTAAAAATTACACTTGTAAGTTGAAATTTAAAAGTGTAAATTTCATTAATTTATCAACACGTAATAAGAATAAATGTGATGTAATAACTTAAATGTATTAAATGCAATTAGACCGTAGATAATAAATATGTCAAAAGGTAGTTAAATTATTAATGTTAGTAGTGTTTTAAATCACCAAATTATAATATTAACTCGATTAAGTCGTTRGTATAATGACAAATCCAACGGGCGTATATAAAATTAAGTTCATACATTTTAAATAAAATCATAAATTACATAATAAAATTCCCCTAATCTTTAATCACCGGTCGATGTGCATTTTTGACCTACGCCAATTTCGGATATCGTAATTCAAATGCGGAGTCTTTTACCCTCTAGTAGTGAGTAAAATAATAATAATTATAGAGAAGTAGGTTGTAGTTACCGACATCACCGCGTACTTACAACGTCACCTGGTGATGTTTTATGTTAATTTGTGAGTGAGAGTCTTGGGCGTACAGATAGCGCCACGCGATGCGATTTTGGTCGATTTCGTAAAGGGATATTATGCGACGGTGACGTTCGAAAAACATTATAAAAATATATTATACGATTGTCGACTTGGGTGATGAATTGTTTAAATCTGATTTTATTATTTTATTTTTATATAGGTACAGCCGATTGGAGACTTCAACCTGGTGGTCAGTACAACGGTTATTACGACGGGTCTGCGTGGGACGAATACCAGCAAACCGCGCGGACCAACGCGGCCCACCAATACGGAGACATGTTAGAAAATTTTTATAATTTCTATCAAAACCCTTACTAGCGAGTTTTTTTCAAAAATATACTGTGTACCTAAATACATTTTTCATAAAATTAAAATGAATTATATGATATTATAATAATAATAAATTAACTTAAAATATTACTACTGTAAGCTAATAACCTTGTAGTTGATGCTGTAACAAAAAAAAAAAAATAATAATAATAATAAATTATTTCAATAACACATTCTCTAAAACTATTGACGGAAAAAACATTTCGATTTTTACATAATATGTCACATATATATAACGAATAGACGAAATTATAATAAAATATGCTTTGATAATGTTCTGTTTAAAGCGAAACTCAATAAATTGGCCTATGATGTTGTTTTGCCATTTCATAAATTTATGATTTATATATATCCCTGCAATGCAAATTATTTTATGAATTAAAAGCTTAATTATTATATGACCGCTATGTGTATTGGTTTAAATTTATTTCGCGTTTTACAATATAAATTCCGTAAATCTCAAAATAAATTGATATTGTCATAGTTTTATATAAGTAGAAGTATCTATTATGAAYWAGTACATTATTTTGTGGTGCATGCAATTTTTTGATAAAACTCAAATAATTTCAAAATAGGTAGTTATGGTTAGATGGYTTAAACAAAAAAAAATAATTATGTTTTCACTGCTGTTAAAGCAGTTAGGGGTTGTGTGGCGTTTAACTATTTATAGAATATTAACGATTTAAGTATAYTCATAAAGTTGTACTTAAAGTTTGCTTTTGACAGTGCTTGAGAACAATATGTAAGTATAAGTCTTATACTATATGGCTATATGGTTATAATTTCAACGGAATTTATACTAAAACAAACCATTATCCGTCGAGGTCACATATTATTGAATATTATGTGTTTAAAATAGTACTACAAGTTTTTCAGACGGCAGTAGTGCACGCGAGATGTGTGGTTAAGAGGCCAACCCCCCACTATTTCTACAAAATTTCACTCTTCTTTAGTTGTATCAGTGTAGTTAGTTGTATTATATAATTTCKGGAAAATTGACAAAACTGTATCCAAATTAGATTCTCCACTAATGTTCGTTTATATGATTATTGTGATGAATTATGCACACTGAAATGTGAAATTATACTAGCGATCGTCAAAAAAAAAAAAAAAAACTACAAAGTATAATAGAAAAATGTTTGTCAAAAACATACACTTTTTTTTACTGTTATAGCTGTAGTACCTAAAGTAAAAAATAATTTATCAAACTCATTTCCTTCCATACAAAGTGTCTMAAACATTAAAATGTACAATCCTTTACCTCCAATCGCATATAGGTTAACTTGACKTCTTCTACAACATGGTTGGTCAGGTTAAAAGAATTAAATTTGCCATAGGATAATAATATAAGAGGACTGGTACGACAGGTAAATGAAAATGAGTGTAGATGTATCTAATCTGAAAATGGTATGGATGAATGCACTATTCAGTAACTTAAGTACGTGAAGGGGAGAGGAAATTATACATACTATACTTACATATCCTTTTTGGTGGATAAATTAAGTCTTAATGTTTTCAAAAATGTTTATTAGTCGATAATAGTTTCATCTGGACATACCTAAAGTTATATATTGTAAGTAAAAAATAATGAAATARTACAAAATAAAACTCAATAAGCATTAAAAAAAAAAAGGTAAATAATAATAATATGAAGAATTTTTAGATCAGTTTTTGATATCTTAATATTTTTAATAACCAATATACCTACTCCTCCCCTACACCATCTTGCTTGAGTTACAAAGAGTCGCCTGTATAGGTATGAAAATAGCTTCGATTACAAGAAAAGAAACTCGTTAATATGAATCCGAAATCAGTTTTCAAAATTAAAACTTATCTAACCAAATTCCTGTAGAAACAGTTTTRAAGGGTGAGTTTATAATGGTTATAATGGTGCATTTATCATTGTCCTCTTTTTATGATGGTGTAAAAAATTCTCATAAGTTACATTCAAAATTCAAAAGTTCAGAATAATTTGAATAAATTTGTTATAAAACTTAAAAATATTGCGGTGATTATATGCTTGAGATAAATCACCCTGTGTCCTGTATATATATATATATATATATATATATATATATAATATTCGTGTATTTGGTGTAAATAAAGTTAATATGTCACGGATAAATCGATATCGCAATGTAAAATACATGAGTATTCATTACAGTGTTTTTGAAATAAGTTCGATGTGTTGTAGTGTTTCCTGATGTTTTTGCTCCAAACTTGTATTATAATGTTAGGTATTATTATAGATTCAACCCGTCCGCCGCCGCTGTGGCTTATGGCGTGCACAATGAATTTGCAACTAACCCGACCAAACTACGTATGCCGCCGACGCTTCCGCCACCGCCACCGCCACCGCCGACACATCAGCCACCAACCGCCATCGCCACCACAACTTCCGCCACCTCCATGGGATACCATCAGCCACCGACCTCGGCGGTCAATCGCTGGACGGAATTCGGGAAAGCCACCATCGCTTCCACGTCCGCAGTCGACTTCCCAGTGGCGTCTTATTTCAACAACAATTTATTATGATATTGTTATTAATAACTTGACTATATATTAACAATAATAATTGTACGTTCGTATAATATCGTATACCGCGACCATAATAATATTATAGGAGATGGCGTTTAACGTTACCATACATCTTATTGTACCACGTCGACAAAGGTTGTATAAAATTAGGTATTAGGTGCCCTTGAAAATGCACCCATGTTGCGTGTATAATATTATTGTTTATCACATAGTATGCAAGGCAATAATTCAACAAACAAGCTCATCCATATTTTTTCTAAAATCATAGATTCGTTTGAATTAAAATTTTTCAATTTTTTAAGTACCTACTTAGTAGTTCCATATAATATCAATGAAATATAAGTTAATTAATAAATAAATATCCTAATTTAAATTACCTGGATTTTAGATAATTGATATTTAAGAAGTGTCGTTTGATGATACAAATAAGCAGCCATCCTTTTTCATTATCAATTATTCTTAGGCAGATGATTAATTTAAAAAAATGTTTATGTGTTTAAATCAAAATTTGAACGAGTAGTTAAAAGTTAGGTACATAATTCTAGATTTAGAAAATAAATGGAATCTATGATGGTTTAAAAACTTCATATATTATAAAAGTATAAAAATATGTGCATTTTATATTTTTAATATATTTTTGTTTGTTTCACAAATATAATAAATTATATTTTATGTAATGCTATATAATTATGAAATACTAATATTCTTTGTATTACATGCATTTCAATAACACAGAAAATAATATTTATTCGAATTTTGATTTCACATAACTAAAAAAAAAAAATAATAATAATAACAATAATAATAAAATAAACAAACGAACAAATAGAATGAATACCTAAATACTTTTATAAATATATATCTACATAGCATGTCCAAAGTATTACTACTATTATAGGTAGGTAATTCCTTTAATCATAAATATCAATATATCATTCATATTTAACTGTTTTATTTAAATATTCATATTGTAAATAAACCTTTATAGATTCTATATTTTAAATTAATGTTAAATATATATATATATATATTTATTATACATTAATAAAATACTCAAATATGTAAATATTAATAGTTATTAATATGCATCTACTTTAAAGAAAAAAATAATCTGCTCAAAAATTTGATGTAAAATAGTGAATTTTAAAAATAATAGTTTTATTTAAAAACAAAAACAAATTTGTATTGCCAATTCAGAACACATCTTAAATTTTGCAAACACATTTAATCATTGGGAAATACGATCCTCAAGTTAACAATAATGTGTAATTACTAGATCCAAAAATCCTAAATCGAATAAACGTATTTTAAAAGGAGGATGAACTTGAACTCGATGAATTATTCTGTATACATTTAACTGCCAAGGATAATTTTTTGTTCTTAACAAAATATCATAGCGAACTATTTTGGTATCTATACGAATACAACCTATCTATCTTGTTTTTTTACTTTTATTATGTTCGTCGGCGACATATGATTAGTAGACAAATCTCGTATMGCCTTCTATATATAACTATGTACTTATACATAGTACTTATACTATGCTACTATAATAATATTACCATTCAATTAGTATCATGATCAATACAATAGTTTAACAGTTTTAAAAGGTACACAAAACTACACCAGCCGTTACAATGAAAAAATATCTTACCTATTATAAGTATTAATTGTTAAGAAATTTTTGGAGTTTTTTTTCAAGGCTAAGCAGAAATTATTTGTACTTTATATATAAAAACGTGGTCACCCTTACATTATGTAATTATGTTATAAATCCTTAATGCGTATGGCATATATATATATTATAACGATAGTGAGTTTACACAAAATGCACTCATAAACATGTGCATTGAGTGATGTTTTTCTAGCGCAAACCCTATATCGAAATACTTCCCCCTATACTTACCCAAAATTTCACACTTTAGTTTTCACTCCCTGAACGACGTAGAATCATAAAAAAGTTTCGTAATACGTAGCACGTGTTTTCAAAGGCGTTGACCAATCTGCTGAAAAAATAAAGCCGTCGTTCACATGTTACGATGAAACTGCGTCGACTTAAATTTTTTTTTTCGCATCTGACGTATAATAACTACAATACTACACATCATAAAATATTATAATATTATTGTTGTTTTATCGTTATGATAGTTGACCTTTTGCTTCGCAAAATCAGAATTACATGCGGCCATTTTGAATAAATAACTGCACCTTATCGAATCGAATTTACCTACCTATTATATAATAATGATTACCAGCGTAAACTTTAAAAGTTTACAGCATACCACTTTATTATAAACAAAAGTTATCATGAGTTAGTTTTCTGTGCTTTGGATATTATATCTAATAGGCGGTAATGTTACGAACCGAATTTGGAGTGTGTGTGATCAGATCCAAAAAAATAGCTAAAATTTGCGAATGTTTGAACCAAAATAGGCAAAATATGTATAAATAATATAGAAAATAATAATTTGGTTATATAATTCACAGTTAAATGTTATTAATTTTATTATTTATTATTTGTTATAAAAATAAATTAATATATACAATTATTAATACCTACTCGATCTAATAAAATATGAATGTCACACAATAACATGCAAAATATTCAAATAAATATAAGTATTATATATTACCTAAATCAACCAAAATTTTAAATTGTTTTAAACTTCAGGTTCGATTAAAATTTTGAATGGCTTAGATTTTAATGAAATATGGAAAGTCTGTGGTTTTGGTTCGGTTGTACTCAAAAATCAATGTTCGCCATATAACACTAGCTATTAATATTAATTATAATAATCATTAGACTAAAATTTGTGTGCAGAAGATAAAAAATTGTATGTATTTAATATGACATAGTATTATAGATCATAGTTATTATTTAGTTYAATTAATTGTATATAAATAATATTATTGAAAAAAGACTGTAGGTACATAATTATATACCTACTTATCATATTTTATTTATATTTTAAATGTTTGTATAGATCTTAAATAAATATATGATAATGTTCTCGCCGTTGTCTATTAACAACTATATAATTCGTGTAAATCATTGTGGGTAGGTATTTCTCACATCACTTTACCTACTTCATCAATTAATTAAATACCTGAACCGTGTTTTAGGCACATTATTAAAAATGTCTAAATTATAGAATTTAAAATAATCATACGCCAGAAAAACGATCAGTTATACAATTTTATTATTTTGTGTTTTAATTATAACAATTTATAAATCGTTAACCTTTGTTCTATATTATAATATTAATTGTGCACGTACTATTTAAATTATAATATGTTCTTTTCAAAAGGCGTTGTTCGCTAACAGTGTTATATTTTAAGACGGTTTTATTAAAAACATTCTTAATGCTGTAAAATCGATACTCGCATTGTACTTTGGTTTAATAGTTGGCAAGTGTTCATTATACAATTTAATCTTGGCTGTTTTTCACTCGCCGAGTGAATTCGGTCTTTAAATAAACACAACAATGAATATTTTATTGCACACGTATAAATATACACAATTGAAAACCAATTTTACGACATTTTATTGGGTTAGTGACTCTAATTTATAAAATGTTGAATTTGTGTCAACAAAAGTCGAAATAATGCTTTGAGATTATCTTCAAAAAACCTCTTAAGTGTCCGATTATCAACTCTTCATCTGTCCAGACGTCACAAATTCGTAATTAATTTTAATGACTAAATAAATATACTTCTGCAGTATTAGTAATCAATGAAATCTGTTTATTTATTCCATATTTTTTATTCAATAATTGTAATAATAATCAGTTATTTTATCATTTAAAGTTAATAAATAAGTATGCATTTGCCGTTCTTGGATTTATCCTCTCTATTGTAATCTGTAGTTTATAGACATACGACATACCTTCCTAATGTTATATTACATTTTATTCGTTCCTCATATTATTAGAAATTCGTAATAAAGCATAATAATAATGTATTTTTGTTACTCATTTTTGGTTGAATTAATTACAAACATGATTTTACATTTAAACCACTAGGTAATGCGCGTTTAAATAATTATACTTTAAAAATAGATATTATTTACTAACCCCCAAAACAAAAGTTGGAAAAACCCATGAACATAAAACATTTCATACATGAAAGTATGAAACTATGAATGTTACCAACACCAAATCGTTTTATTACACATTATTGCCTATATTTTATTTTGTTCTAATGCGGTTTAGTTATGACAATAATATTTATAATAATAGACCAATAGACCATAATACCATAATAATTCATAACCTTATTTGTGAGTTACAATCCTAATAAAATAAATATTATTTAATGTGAAGATGAACGAACGATTTTAAGTCGCTATAGCGTTGCGCTCATGGTTTATTATCGCAACAGTATAATCAATAACAAAAAATAACTATCGATTATAACAAAAACGGAACACTGTTATAATACTATCACCATAGTATACTTTTGATAAGGAGAAGTATTGGCAACATAGTTCCTTCTTCGGTCCTCGATACCATAGGGGGAAAAATGTATACTTTTGAATTAAAAGTTTTGATAGTGGCCGTATAGTTATTGTCATTGTAGCTGTTCAACCAAATGCTCTAGATCGGGTTCGGTTTTCAGAATGACGATCGCTTCTTTGGTGTAATTCTTGATCATTTCGTCGTAGCACTGCGATAAAATAATAATAATTATGATAATGATATTGATAGCATAGCAAATTATATTATTTGTACCTGATTATAATATTAAGCAGCACATTTGTTTTTAAAAGTAATAACAAATATTTCTATTCATGGCAATTGAAATGAAAATCGTGGTTTTCGGAATGAGTTCAGTAAATATTAATATATATTTTTAATAATATTCTCAAACGCTTTGCCTATTAACTATGCACTTTAACTCTATATGTAAACCAGCCAATTTTGAATTCTGGGACATGATAAAATTGACTTAAAACAAAATAGTCTATCCGAATATGGTGTTAACAATAGGCTTGGTATTTGAAAAATGCGAATTGTATTGCGTAAGAGCAAAATAAAGGGATTACTAATTTCTATATAAAAAAGTGTATGGTGATGTTATGTATTCCCTGCTATATCCTCAAATTCGAAGTCACTGAAAGAAGATATGGAAATATTTCGCGTTACTTCTAAAGGAAACATTACACTTATAGATGCATAAAATAATATTATAATTAGGGCTAGGATTTATATGCAATAAAAAATTGTAAAATATGCATTTTATTTATCAAAATGTGCAAAAATAAAATTTTATTATTATTTATTATAATTCATAATTTTTTATTACTCATTATTAGCTCATATTATTACATTAAATATTAGTTTAATTAGACATAACTTGGCACTTTCACTTTGAACTTTCGGCATACTGGACACTGTTATTAAAACCATTCAAATTATTAAGTATAAACGTCTGCACATTTACGCAACACATACGACGTGCCAATACAATTTTTCTATGCTATCTTACTGTATAACAATGTGTAAGTAATTCTATCAGTCGTCCGACTAACGATAAAGTTACGAACGGATATTATCTGACCTATGATAAAATAGGTAGTGTTTATGCTATATATTTACGAAAATTCAACGGATRAACCAAAAACTGTCGGTTTCGTGAAGTACCATTTAAAATTAACAATAACTTATAAAAATTAAAAATGTTAGTTAAAAAATATCAAATTCTAAAAAAATCTAATTATATGCATTATGTCCAAAATACTCGTATGCAAAAGTATGCAAAAAAAAAAATTGGTCCTATTTAAACGAGAATAAGCCAAATCGTGGACAAATCTGAAAACCAATCAATTTGGACTAAAGGAAAAAAACATGCAAATGCATATAAATCCTAGMCCTAATTATAATCGAAACACAGTGCGTAAAAAATAGTGTACTGGTCATTAGCTTGAGATAACTATAAGGAGTATTTATGCGTATTTAAAATATAATTTTTCTACTTAACAATTATTTTATATTTAGGATTATGTAATGGATCTCTTAAACAGGTCATAATTTATTTTTACTCAACTCAACATATTTTTAAGTACCTACATATAAATAATAAATATTATGTTGAAATAGGTTCGTTAGGTTTGATTTCTTAAAAAATTATGTTGATTTGATAATAAATCGGGAATACAACTAAGAACAAACATAATCATAGATTAAAACATATTGTTTCAAAAATATAAGATTATAAGCATTATGTATTATGGCTATATATAGSTATTGGCAATCTTAAGATTCATTAAAATGGGAAGGAAAATATCGTATTTACATCAGAGTTAAGTCACTTAAATATTTTCAGGACATAATACATAATTCTAGGTATTAGTGATTAGAAATTCGTATTGAAAAACGGATCCCGTCGAAACACGTTAAACTGCAGTAAATTTAGCAATTAACATAGTTTATAAGTATACTTTTTTAGGGAACACAATTAACTGATTCTGGGAACCACGAACATTTCGTCATCGTGGACGCTGGACAAAATCATTCATTTTTAAATTTTTTTTTTTTTTTAATTTGCTTTTTATTAGAAAATAATTATAGCAAAGTATTTTTTTAAAATTTATTAGACATAATTGATATAATATGATAAAACTCTGACCCGTCTGTGTTTCATCTGCATCAGCTGTCTGAGACCACGCACCATGTAGTACAGCAATATCCCTCGGAATCGCGTGATTCCCGGTTCCAAGACGTCGGACAACCGCAAAAGTTGCTTGCATATATCTGTATTGTTTTCTAGTTGAATTGCGGACAGATCTGTACAAATCGACAATGATGAAAAACCAGAAAAATTGTCTTTAACACGATTTTATAGCAATTAATCCGTTGTCACTCATTATTTCAATGTATGCGACACGCAAATCAATAAACAATAATAGTATATAATATAATACAGTGTGATCGACGCCGACGCGACATCCCGCGTCCTTACAAAAAACAAACATATTTTATTAATATTGTCGTTGGAAATAATGAGTTGGGTCTTTTTAGTTGATTGTTTTTGTTTCTAATATAAGAATCTCCGGTAATTGGCGAAAAAAATGATATTTTATATTATATCTAACTTACTATTATAATATATATAATGTTCACATTCAATTTAAAGTTTTTATATGTCGACGAGGTTTTCTTAATATTAAGTAAGTGATTTGTAAGTATTTGGTTGCCTGTAAATGTAATTTTTTTTTTTAAATGTTTATAGTTTTATTTAAAATTATTATTTTCAGTTTTTCCTTTAAAAATAGAAAACTGTTATCTATTTTAACCATATCTTATGGATTTTTCGTTAGTTTTGGTATATTTTATCAACTGTAATCAGCTTATCACAGTAGATATATTTAGTATACTTAGATATTTAAGTGGATTTTAGTACTCTAATAAAAGTTACCTAATCTATAAGTACTGTACTATATAAGTATAAAACGTCAGAAACGTTTCGGGTAGTCTGTTACGCCTGCAGCTATACAGCTTACCCGAAATCCGGTCGGCGTACAGTTGTGCCAATGCGTACTTAACGCTAACCGTAACGTGGTGGTCATTGTGCAGCGGTAGCATCGTTCCGTCGCGGACCCGTTCCAGGAACCGTTCGAAACCGGTGCAGTCTCGTGTCTTGGAAAGCGCTCCGACGATCTGCAGCGCGTGGGCCGCATCGACGTCAGTGGCGAGTAGTCCGCAAGTGGCGCATAGCCACTGGCCCACAGCTGTAGCCCGACCACCCGAACATATTTTATCATCACCACGACCACCACAGGCCGCTGAGCCCAGGTGCGTACCCAATTCCGTGGGATCAGCACATCGCGCGCACGCGCACTCGAAAAATTTTGCGGCCCATAGGTGACGGCGTCGGTCAACCGTGCACCACAGAGTCTGCGTGTACGTAGTCGTGACGGGGCATCCGCGGGCTATGGGCACCGTGGCCACCACGCGAATGGCCGGCTGACCGTCGACCTCATCGCCGACGAACACGTGCTTGGTGTTYGGCGTGCAACAGTGGGCCATCATTGAAGCACGCGTGTATAGGGCCCGGAACTTTCGGCCACCGGGCCGTCGGACTTCGAACGCGTTGGTATCAAGCACGGCAGCCGCCTCAAGAGCAGACCGGTGATCGTGACTGTGGCCAGCCGACCGCAGACCCAAACGGTCCAGCACGAACGCGGCCACATTGACAGCGTAAGCTTGATACAACGGCGTGTCCAGCCTGTCGTCCAGGTGCGACTGTAGCGAACGGAACTCAGCGGCCCGGCGTCCGTCCAGCTGGTGCAGTAGCAGCATGCAACGGAGCGGCATCACAAAGCAGTATGCGGCCGACCGRCGGCTATCGTAGTGGCCTCCGATCAGCGGACATTCGGCGTCACGGTGTACGGGCGCCGTTTCGCACCGTGGCCCGCATACTGGCCATCCACACGTCGAACACCTGTAACCCGTGGTGGGTGCGTAACACGTCAGACAGACGGACTGCGAACCGGCCTTGGGCCCGACGACCAGTGGCCGTTCTTCGAGGAGCACSTCGCCGGCCGCAATGTCTCGAGTGGCCACCCAGTGCCGGCCCAGTTCCGTCGACTCGACTACTGCGTACGGCGTCTCGGCGGCGTMTTCCSCTGTCTTCGCGCTGCCGRACGATGACATTTACGCGATAAATTATACACTTTGTACGGTATAGCTGAGATGTCGGACCGCACCGAATTATGCTGCAGACCGTCACGGCCGACTGCAGTAGGCTATTCCGACCGCGCGCGCCGTTTGGTACTAAAATTATCTCCACAAAGGTGGGGGCACTGATCAGCGGGGAAGTATACTATACCTGCAACGACGTTCATCGGTGTTGTCGCGAAATCCGCGCCGTGCCGTATAAAGCCACAGYTGTTTCATCACGGGATCCGCACCGCGTATCGCCGTATAAATAATCCACCGGCGGACGAACGGTGATCGTCAGGGGAGCGGTTATAATATTATTATGACGTGTATCGTATATGCCRCAGGGCAGCAYGGAGGAGCAAATCGGTGAAAAAAGTCGCGATGAAAATAAAAAGAGGCGGCGATGGCGCGCCGTACACGGTCTGCGCCGGCGACGGTGCAAACAATATAATAATATATTTACGCGTATATGGGCTCGTAAAACGTCCCCGCGAGGGCCTCGCGAGTGTGATATTCGCGCCTTGTCCATACCGCACCGACGAAATGAAAGAAAAAAAAAAGTGGGGAAAAAGCGCTTACAATATATTATATTATTATGTATAAAGCGTCATATTTTTACGGCGTCTCTCTCGTTTTTTTTTTGTTTTTTTTTTTTATGGAATTCAATCTTGGACTGGTACATAAACCCTGCCGTTGTGTATGTTACGTGTGGGTGAGATGGAGAGGGTGGGTATGCGCTGCAGTAACTTTTCGCCAGATCGTCGGTGGGTGCAGTGTATGTAACAATGTAACATGGTCGAACTCGGCAGTAAACGACTATCGGGACATTTGTACAAAGTGTATTTTAAAACCGTGTGTAGTCGCGTATGTKTTCAATATTTAGGTGGTTCTAGATTCTGTCGAAAAATATGGTTTTTGGATTTATCATAGGTATCGACACTCGAGACGATTCGATTTCAATAATATAACAACTTCAGAGTGTCCGCCTAGATATCCATGTGTATTATATTCTTTTCCGACGGTTTGTTTGAAATAACGTATGTCTACAAGTCGGCTGTTACTTTATGAAATGAAAAATTTAAAATTCAGTCTTGTTATAACTTTTTACAAAATTATCATAATTCTCTGCAAACGTTCTATGACATATACGTATTTTTTAACTAATGGAATTGTGTGCGTTGTTTCTAGAAGTTAAATGTATAACAAAGTACATTATGAACATACATTGTAAAAAATATATATCGAAATACCATCATTTATTGATAATATTCAAATACAATATACATACGTAGGTACAGCTTATTTTAAGATCCTTAAATAATRTCACCCATTTATCCCCGAAGATATTTCAAGTTATATCCACTATAGTTATTTTTATTTTTATTTTATATAACGTTATAGACTAAAAATTGGTACGATGCTCTATACGAGGAAAAATTATATTTATGCTGAAAATATTTTTCAAATAAAATTATTTGTCACCAAAATTTTTTTATTCATACTATCATAAATGTGTAAAAGAATTTTTTTAAATTGCTTGAAAATGTTCACTTTTATATTCTCGTTTTATTTGTATTGCTAATTAGTTTCGATCATATACGTTTCATGTATAAGTAAAGCACTCTTTGGCGTCTCTTATTATTTCGTGATAAATATTTTTACATCGGTGGAGAGTTACGCAAATATCCCATTACGCGGGGCGTTCACTCACTTTATAATAGGTGCTCGGCATTGAATCTTCCAATGGGTCGGAGCGAAGTAAATGTCTCTTGTACATCCAAGAATACTTTGCGTTTGGATCCATCGCATCGAGCCGCTAAAACGTGGGCGTATATGTAGGTCGGTAGATGTGTAAGCATGTAGGTGGGTAGGTAGGAAGGTAGCTAAGTCGATGGGTGGGTAGATAGGGATATCTACTAATATTATATAATATTCATTCGGGTGCCACCGCTGCGGAGCTTATGACATCGCGCGCAGTCCGTTACTTTTGCACTCCGTACGCGCGCGATTTGAATAAKACCCTCATATATTTAAGTAACTTTCGGGTATAGACAGATGTTTTCAGCGCCTGATACCGTCACGCGTGGTGCGAATAACGTGTTGTACATTATATATATATATATATATATATAATACTATACTACACACACAAAACAAACATATATGTGTTTAATATTATGGGTGTGTGTATCTGAACGGAAACTGGCACTTGACGTCTTTTGAATGTTTAATGGACAGCGTCGCCTCGTCCGTGCGTGCGAACAACAACGGACTTTTAGCCGACTCGAGAGTGTGCCGTCCGCGCGTTCGAATTAACGAGGGTCGACGACGTAATATTTTCCTGGAGCCGAACCCACATCGGATGACGGGACGACACGAGCACTACGTATAGTGCATRGGGGTCGTGTCACTTGTATTATACGCATATATTATTGTGATACACATAATATACGGATGAGAAACGCGCTGTAGTTGAATTTATTATTATATTACGCACGSATTCACTGCTAGAATATTTATACTGCCCGGAAAACTCCTCTTTGTTTTTATTATCCCATCATTCGCACGCGGACCGATATCGTTTTCAAGTAACCTGCAAGCATACGGTGATTAATGACCCGGTCGATATATTATCACATAATACAAGAGCATAATATATAATTACAAGCAGTGTTGTGCTTAGATAATTTTTTTGTATCTAGATATAGATAAGATATATGAACTCAAAATATATCTAGATAGAGATAGATAATGATAAATTAAAATATATCTAGATATAGATACAGATAAAATCAATTTTATCTAG